TTATTATTTTTAATAAATATAAATGAATTTCAATAATTAAAAATAAAAAATAATTAAAATTTTATATAAACATGTTATATAAAATTTGTATATAAATAAATTCTTACTAATTTTAATAGTGAATTTTCAATCTAATTAATTTTCAAAAGATAAAATAAAAAAATGACTATTATTTTCAAATAAAGAAAATAAAACTTTTTTTATAATTTATATATACTATTAAAGAGTTTTTTTTTCTTGATTGGACTATTAAAGAGTTATTCAGTTACTTATGTCCAAAAAATAATAACTGCTAAAAATAATAACTGAAGAAATATTTGAAATTAATATAATGACTGATATTTAGAAGAGAATTTCCCAGAATTTTTACCAAAAAATACTTTTCTAACAATATAATAATTTTCATTGATTTAGAGTCAGTTATTTTCTAAATAATCACTTTTGTTTCTTTTGTAACCAATTACTTCTTCCTTTAATTTTTGTAATTAAAAATTTATTTTTCAAGCCTAAGTATGCTACAAGGACATGTAGACTTCCCCAAATATTACGGTTATCCCAAGTGAACTGAATTGGTCCACGTCAGCACCAAGTCAGCACCCGAACAGCACCACCTCATCAGGCTTTAACGAGCAATTGAAGGCTTTAACGTTTGGATGATGTCAGCTTAACTAAAAGGGCTGTTATGGGGATTTCATGAAGTAGAGGGGCTGGTTTGCCACATTGGTTTAAAGTACAGAGGTTGACTTGCCACAACATTGCAAGTACAGGGGTTGAATTGCACCTTCTGACTTTTTTGTCGCCTGGGAATCTCTGCATTATTTTTTCTAAAAGCTGAAGCCCCAGGCTTTAAGTAGTACAGCAATAATTCAATGAGCAGTGCCAGGGGCACTCGTACCCTTGTCCGACACTCTTCTAGGCAGATTTCGTACTCTTCTCTTGGGTTCAATGTCATCATACTAGCTAATTTTATTTAGAGTTTTAGATTTTAGAGTTTCGATGACATTAAATTACTCTAGACTACAAAATTTTTTATCATTAGACAGTGAGAATCTGCCTCGTTCTAATGGTTATTGTTGTGTAGTTTTAAATAATTAAATTGTCATTAATTTGTTATATATATATATACATATGACATTATCATTATGTACCTGCAATATAAATGTGTTTATATTGTGTAGATGGCTTAATTGGAGTTTCTTGATCCTTCGGTTTTAGGGTATGGGGATTATTGCTTTTACTGCTGCTACATCGGCATTAAGTACCTCCAACTTGCATCGACAAAGGAAATTGCATAGGTCCAAAGGAATGGCAATTGAGCATCCTTTTTGTTGGGTTAGGGTTACGGGCAATAGAAGCTGGTGGCATTAGACCCTGCAACATTGCCGTTGGGGCAGACCAATTTGACACCACAACTAAAAGGGAAGAAGAGAATTAGATAGTTTTTTAAATTGGTGGTACTTTTCAATTATAGTAATTATTAGTGAATACTAAGTCGGCTAAACTATTGTTAATGTTTTATCAGGTTTGATCAAAGCGTTTGCTGCGGTTGCTTTGATGGAACTTCTTACGATGAAATTACCGGAGAGGATGAAGACAGTTACCGGCACAATCTTCTTTCTGAACTTATCAGAGTTAGGCTACTTGAACTCTCTTCTTGTGAACATTGTTTATACAACAACTAAGAAGAGTGGGAAAGGGCCGTGGTTGGGAGGTCACGATCTCAGTAAGGATAGGCTGGAGTAATTTTATTGCCTCCAGGCTGGTATAGAAGTTTTGAATTTGATTTATTTCAATGCCTTTGCCAGACATTTTTTGGCCAAAAATGGAGGATCCAAGGAGGAGCAGAGAAGTGAAGACAAGCAGTAGAAACAGCCTAATTGACAAGATCGATTGGATCTCTATGCAAGGATGAGTATAGAAAAATGTACTTTTGAGACAAATGGGAAGAAATTTATGAAATGTGAGAAATTATTTGTGGATTGATAAA